CTCAGATATAACACTCTACTAAGCCAGAAATTAGAAGACAAAATAAGGAAGTCTCTGGAAACAGAGACCGAGCAAATAAACTGGAAAATAAAAAAAAAATGACAGTTGAGGGGCTTGCCTTGCAAGAATGAGAGCCTAAGTTCAGTCCTCAGAACCCACACACAAAAGCCAGGCTCGGCGCCACACTTGCCATCCAGGCTCTCGAGAGAGACAGGTGGATCCCTGGGGCTCTTCGGCCTAATCAGTGATCTCCAGGCCAACAAGAGACACAAAACACAAACACACGGATGACTCACACCAGTAACCCTGGCTCCGGGGAGGCTGAAACCGGAGAATCACTACAAGTCTGAGGACAGCCTGAGCTATATAATGAGTCCCAGGCTAGCCTAGACTACACAGTGAGACTCAGTTTCAACTCCCCTGTTTCCCTCCCCCCCCCCCCCCGCCCCCAAAAAAAGCAAAAAGCAAAGAGAATAAGCCAGGGAGTAGGGTAGCTTTGGGGATTCAGGCAAATAAGAGTGAAAGAAATGGTCAAAGAAATAAGAGGCATAAATATTCCCAAATAGAAAGACTCTAATCTTCTGAGTAAAGGCGTCTACCAAGTACAGAGCCGAAGATGGGAAAGAAGACAACATACACCCCAAGATCATCAATGTGAAATGGAAGAACACAGAAATCGAGAATAAAAAAGCAGGTCATATAATTCCCTATGTATGGGGAAGCAGAATGGCATCAGACACACACATCAGAAGAAAGGGGAGCAATGTATTTACAAATGGCTGTTGTACTTCAGGTGTGGTGGACACTTGCAATCCCAGAACCCAGGAACTGAGGCAGAAAGGTCTTAAGTTCTAGATCAGCCTAAGATATATAGCAAGACCCTGTCTCCATGTGTGTGTGTATGTATTTGTGTGTGTGTGTGTCTCTGTGTGTGTGTGTGCATGCACACAGGCACAGAGCATGTAGCTTCTCTAATGTGCAAAACCCATGCATTCAATACCTAGCACCAAGCAAAAAATAGAGAAAATAGGTTTTTTTTTGTTTTTTTGTTTTTGTTTTTTTTTTTTTGGTTTTTTTGGTTTTTTTTTTTTTTGGTTTTTCGAGACAGGGTTTCTCTGTGTAGCTTTGCGCCTTTCCTGGAACTCACTTGGTAGTCCAGGCTGGCCTCGAACTCACAGAGATCCGCCTGGCTCTGCCTCCCGAGTGCTGGGATTAAAGGCGTGCGCCACCACCGCCCGGCTGAGAAAATAGTTTTTGATCTAGATTTTTCTATCATGTATAAGCACGTGTGTGCTTATACACACACACACACACACACACACACACACACACACACACACACATTTCAAACAGGAAGAGTCAATTATAGGCTGTGCTGGTCAGTTTTGTGTCAACTTGACACAAGCTAGAGTCATTTGGGAAGAGGGAATCTCAACTGAGAAAATTCCTGTTAAGACTAGACTGCAGGGCCGGGCGGTGGTGGCGCACACCTTTAATGCCAGCACTTGGGAGGCAGAAGCAGGCGGATCTCTGTGAGTTCGAGGCCAGCCTGGACTACAGAGTGAGTTCCAGGACAGGCTCCAAAAGCTACACAGAGAAACCCTGTCTGAGGGGCAGGCAAGGCGAGACTGGACTATAGGCAAGTCCGTAGTGCATTTTGTTGACTGATGTGGGAGGGCCCAGCCCACCATAGGTAACAACATCCCTGGGCTAGTGGTCCTAAATGCTATAAGAAGGCAGGCTGAGCAGACCAGTACAGTACTCCTCCATGGCCTCTGCGTCAGTTCCTGTTTAGAGTTCCTGCCCTTGATTTCCCCAGATGAAGGGCTCCTGTAAGCTGTGAGATGAAATAAACTCTTTCTTCCCCAGATTGCTTTTCGTCATGGTGTTTACAACAGTAATAGAAACCCTAAGACACAGATAGGTCTTGTGGTTTTTTTTCCTGGAACTTCCTATAGCATGTGCTCCAATCAAATGAGCTGGATGCACCAATAAGCGAACTATGGGAGCCCAGAGACTATTTATTGATCGTGCACAGGAGAGGCTCAGGCTCACAGCTGTGTAACTACCAGTTCACTCAGGAGCAGGGAATGGAGGCACCCAGGAAAAAGCTCTCCAAGAGGAAGGAGGGACCAGTAAAATAACAGCTAGGAGCATTAGAAAAAAATATTCCATCTCAATTTTATATGGTGGTTCTTAGGGAACGATCTGTAAAATTTTAAGAATAACTTCATCTAAAAATATTCAATTTACATGTAACAAATCCACTTACATATAGGAAAAAGAAGAGGTACGCAATAAAGGAAATGTAGTCATAATATAGTCTCCGGCTCTTTGGGGACCAATCTACACTGTCAAACAAAATGCAAACACTGCATGGCTTTTGGTAAAGCGTTTATGACTCATTCCATGTGAGTAGACTGAGGTGATGGGAAAGTGATGTAATGTGGCTGATTTTTCTTCTATAATACCTTAGTCATGACATCAAGATACAGCAACCTAAATATTTACTAACACAGGATATAAAGAAGCTTGTGGGCTGGAAAGATGGCCCAGCAGTTAAGAGCACTGCTGTTCTTCCAGAGGTCCTGGGTTCCAATTCCCCACAACCACATGGTCACAACCATCTATAATGGGATCCAATGCCCTCTTCTGGCATGCAGGTGTTTATGCAGATAGAACACTCATATACACAAAATATACGAATAAACATATAAATAATCTTTTAAAAAATAAATAAATAAAAGAAAATGATAATTTACCACTCTGGGACTTAGGAAGGCATTAACACAAGAATCCGATATTTTTCATTATTAAAGGCTCTTGGGGGCTGGAGAAATGGCTCAGAGTTTAAGAACACTGGCTGCTCTTTCAATTCCCTGCACCCACATCACAGCTCACAACTCTCTGTAATTCCAGTTCCAGGGGGTCCAACACTCGCACACAGACGTACATGCACGCAAAACACCAATGCTCATAAAAATAAATAAATAAATAGGAATCATTAAATTTTTTTTTTTTTTTTTGGTTTTTCGAGACAGGGTTTCTCTGTGTAGCTTTGCGCCTTTCCTGGAACTCGCTTTGGAGACCAGGCTGGCCTCGAACTCACAGAGATCCGCCTGGCTCTGCCTCCCGAGTGCTGGGATTAAAGGCGTGCGCCACCACCGCCCAGCCTAAATTTTTTTACAAGACTCTTGGAATTAATTAACAACTACGACCACACTTATTAAGGATCAACGGAATGATATGTAGCACAATAGTAGAGCATGTGCTTACAAGGCCCTGTGTTGATCCCCACCACCCCTCCCCCAAAAGACATTCCCTGCTTTCCATCCCATGCTAATTAAGTCCTAGAATTTAATTTAAAGATCTAGCATCCAACTCACCTTAATTTAACTGCTATGCTTTTTTCTTTCCTTTTTCTTTTCCTGTTTTTTTGGTTTTCTGATACAGGGTTTCTCTGTATAACAGCCCTAGCTGTCCTAGAACCCAATTTGTAGACCAGGCTGGCCTTGAACTCACAGAGATCCGCCTGCTTCTGCCTCCCAAGTGCTGGGATTAAAGACATGCGCCACCACCGCCCGGCTACTTCTATGCTTCCTATTGTTCTATCTCACATACCTTTCTCCAAACGCCCCTGCTCCCTCCTGACTTTTCGGCTCATACATTGCCTGGGAAGAAATGGCCTTTCTCCTCTCTGCCTAGCAGATCCTGCCTACCCCGAATCCAGGTCCAGGCGCCATCCTGTCTGGGGAAGAACTAGCTATGCAATCATAGAAGAAAATGTACACATTGGAGGGCCCAGGGCCCCTAAAGGCTGCACTTGGAGTCTGCAGAGAGCCAGGAGCTGCCTTAGCTGTAGGCAGAGCGGGGCTGGGCTAGGCATTCCTAGGCAGGGCCCGACAGCCAGCTGGAATACTGTATACACATTTACTGTCAACATGTTCTTTCCAGAGCAAGAAGCTTCCAGATTACCAAGAGTCTTGGGAGCACATTAGGCTGAGACAATCTGGGGCGGAGGTAGAAAGAGGGGCCCTGTAGGGCTGGGGCGCAGCTCGATGGTAGAACACTTGTCAACCAAGGCTAAGGTCCATGGCTCCAACCCCAGCGCTACAAAATTTAAAAACAAGCAGCTAAACAGCGGGCATGCCAACACTGCAAACTAAAGACGTGAAAGAAAAGCACCTGGGTGGTCCTCTGGGGTTAGCAGCAGCCAGGGGAAGCGGGAAGTCAGCACTGGCCTCCCAGGCCTGGAAGCAGAGATGGAAAAACTTCCATGTCTGAAGCTCAGTCAGGTGCCTGAAGGACTTCCCTGTGTCCCTTCTGAGTGTTCTAGTTAGAAAGCTATAAGGGCAGTTCTGTGCCTCCTAGCCTCAGAGGAGAGCGCCTTATGGATTGGCTCTAGGCACCCAACATTCATTGAGGACAGCGGCAGAGGGCAAGTCTGTGTACAGGACTGTTGGAGACAGACATGGGTATTTCCTTTGGGGCAGCCTGGGCTACAGCAGGTGACATCCTTAGCCACACTCCTCTTTTCATAGCTCTGTACAGCCCAATAAAATTCACAGCTGGAGAACCAGGCCCAGAACCAACAGTTCCATGTGGACTTTCATTCCTCAGTTTTCCCCCCAACACTACCACCTCCTTAAGGCCCCGGATCCTGATCAGAACCCTGCCGCAGCCACCATCAGAAAAAAGCCTCTTGAGCTAGGGTGGGATCCAGGAAGGTCCTACCTTAGTATGTTGGAGGCAATGTCGTCTATCTCCAGCACAGTAAGAAATGGAAAGAAGAAAGGAGGTCGGAAGGAGGGAGGAAGAAATGAAACAAAGGTCCTCCGCCATCTGCCGCAGCTCTACGCTCTCACTGCCACATCCTGGCATTCCCAGCAGCAGTGGCCTCTGGTGCGTACCCCTCGCCTCCCTGCATCCTCGCCTCCTCCTTTCCAGCTTCCTCACCATCTCAGTGCACGGAGTGAAGGAAGGAGAGGCCCGGAGCTTACCCAGAACTTCACAAGGAAGAAGGCGTTAGAGGGCCCCCGATCAAATAGCTCCTTGAGGCCGCCCTTCTTCTCGGGGAATTTGTCATAGATCTGGCGGATGTCCACGGCTTCGAGGTAGGGGTCACTGTAGCTTGGGCTCGACTGGCTGATGTGCACAAACAGGTGCTTGTTGTACTGTGGACGGAAGAACAATTGCTCTGCGGGGGATGCCAAAGGGTGGGGTAGAGACAGATAGCTCAACTGCGTGCCTCACTTACGACCTGGAGCAAACCACGGTACCTCTCTGGGCCTCGGTTTCCTCACTGGGAGAAGGGAGACAAGATGGGTCAGGGGCAACTTGCTAGATACCGGGCTAGTTTCCCAGAGGATGTGGAGCACACACCAGAGACTCCTCTGCTTCCTGAGGACCCCTTAGAGCCAAGGAGTGGAGGACGGGGTGGGGGGGAGGGTGGGGGGGGTGGGGGGTGGGGGGGTTCGGAGGAAAGGACACTAGAATAAGAGGAGACATAGGAGACAGAGGAGAAACCTGAGAGCTGAGAGGGAGAAAGAGACCAAGAAGGCTTGAGGTGGGAGACCTACAGAGAGCAAGGGGAAGAACAGAGCGAAGGAGGAGGCGGCGGGCAGGCAAGCGGAGAAGAACAAGGAATCTATTAAGCCCTGAGGGGAGAGGGGGAAGAAAGGTAAGAAAGCCAGAGGAGGTGGGGGGATGGAAGGTGAGATCTCTGGGCCTGCTGAGTCTCCTATGGAGGCAGGACTTCCAGGGGTGGGAACCCACTCATTAGGTGGGTACTCGGGAACCTACTATGGGGACAGGCCTCCAGTGGCAGGGACATGAATAGCATGGGGACAGAAACTTCAGGATTGGAGGCCTACTTTGAGGACAGGGCCTGTGGGATTGGGGAATAGCAGTAGCAGAGCCTCTGAGATTAAAATGGCCTCTCTTGGGGTAAGACAGTCGCACGTGGGAGACCTACCGTGTCAGGATCTTGCTGGCGCTCCAGGAAGGCGGAGAACTCCAACATCCAGAGCTTGGAGCTGGCCACACTGCGGCCTTGCCACGGGGAAACTGGCGGTGCAGAGGGCGATGGGGTAGGTCCTGCAGGAGACTCAAAGCCTATATGAAGGGGGAGAGACACATGGAACCTGCCCCTGTTTGTCCCCCACGCCGATATCCTCAGTGAGGACCAGATAACACCAGTGAAAAGTGTGCCCAGTGGCAGGACAGAGCCTGTACATGATCAGCCCAGTGGGGCCAGGCTTCTGCCCAGGCCCACGCTCAAGGCAGATGCATGCTGAACGGTCCAGGAGGTTGCCTGGAAAGCTGCCAGGGCAGGCACTGCAGGAGTCTTGCCCTAGGGCAATTGCTAGTCCAGGCAGGAAGGTAGCCAGCTGAATCAACCAGCACAGTGATTCTGAGGCCTGGGAGCAGGAAGCTTCCTGGAGGCTCCTTGTTGACCCATAGAACACCACCTACAACACAGGGGTTCGAAGAATGAAGGCCTAGGTCAGCACTGATAAAGTGTGCCCTCAGCACCACAGAAGACTTTTTGGTGCCCCTGAGGCTAATCGAAGTGAGGCTTAAGGAAGTCTTGAAGTTCAAGTGGGGAGTCCTGAGTGAAGATGGGGAAAGGTACCCCAAGCTGGGAAGCAACAAAGACAAGGGGTGTGTGTGTGTGTGTGTGTGTTGAGGTGGGGGTGGGGGTGGCTGGGAACCAGCTGAGGGAATCTGGAAAGCCACGACTTCTCGGAAAAACAGGTCTGAACTGGTGGCAGGAAACAGGCTCCGTGGTCAGCCAGGGGTGCTGGCGAACAAGATGGATTCTACTCCTAAGTCAAGGAAAGCCAGTGGTTGAATTAAGTGGGGCTGGGAAACTGTCAGCTTTACAATCTTTTTTTTTTTTTTTTTTTCCTTTCCTGGTAACACTGGGGATGGAACCCTGCCTGGAGCAAGGAATGTGAACAAAAATTCCTGAAAAGAAGCTGTGTCTGGCTGGCTGTGAACAAAAAACTCCTGGAAGGAGTTTCTGGGTCTGCAGAGACTGATGGACCGATTGGAATTCAGTACTGTGGAAAGATCGGAAATGTATAGGTTCCGAGGCTAATTACTCTCTCTTGGGCTAGTGTCTGCCTTCTGGCACAGCCATTTCTTGACTCACTCTGTGTCTGAACTAACACCTTGTGATAATAAATAGAATCCTCCTAGAAGCCATTCACTCAGCCGAACATTAACATCTGCCAATCCAAGAGCTCAGAGTGACACCAGACGGCATCTTAGACCTGTGGAATAGCTCCCCCATCTCGTTGTACCCGCCTCTCTGGTGTACCCATCAATTTTAAAACTGCCTTGATATATGATTTTCTTTGTTCAGTAAAACTATGGAAACCCTGTGAAACTGCTTCCGCAGTGGAACATGGAATTTGGGGTAACCTAAATCTGTGTTCCCGGGCCATGGTCACTCATAACGGCTCCAGGATAAACTCTCTCTTATTCCATTTCAGAGGAGAGCTGTGGTTTTCATGCTGACAGCACTCTAGGCAAGCAAGCTCTCTGCCACTGAGTTTGGCAGTTTTTCATTTCTTCTTCATTGTGGAAGAAGGGTGGGAGAGAGGGGGCACAGTAGAGGCAAGGTCTTTATGAATCCAGTTTTCCTTCTGGAAGCCTGGGGGCCACTAGTATCCTGGGCAGAAGCAGTGAACTCAGGCACAGGGTAAAAAAACAAAACAAACAAACAAAAAAACAAAAACAAGAACAAACAAACAAACAAACAAACAAAAAAACAAAGAAACGAAGAGGAGACCTAGAAAGACCAGTCCAGAAGAGTGGCCAACCATGCTGAACACTCCAGCCCATGCACAGCACATCTGCCTAATCTTTCTTCCCTTCCTTCCTGCAGCCCCAGTACACCAGGAACTGCTGTGTACACAGCATAGGAAACCCACAAGGATATGCACAAACAGACATGGCAATGAAGGACACCCCTGATAGACAGAGGTCTGCAGAGTCCAAGGTGGTACCTAATAAACAGCAGGCACCTGACACGGCCCTGGAGGAGCAATCTAGCCACAGCCCAGAGGCAGAGCAGGGAGCACAGTGGACAGGACCAGGGAACACAGTAACTGAGTCTCAGGAGTCCTGCAGATCTACTGCAGAGCTCAGATCTCATCATGAAGGCACCACGGGTTCCAGGAAGCATGTTAAGCCTGGAGATAACATGGTGGGAGATGCTTTGAGAATCTCAGGGAGCCGGTTAAGAAGCCACTGCAGTGATCCAGGCGAGAACTAGGAGGGTCTGAGTACAGACTGCATCAGCATGGACAGAGGGAAGAGAACAGAAAAGAGAACAGGACATGAGGACTGGCCCCAACTCTGTGATGTTCCCTGTGGGGGTGAAAGAAGCAGTGAGCAGACACCAGGTGTGGCAGGAAAGCCTGAGAGGCCAGAATGTCTGTCACAGCTGGTCACTCTCCAAGGAAGGTTGAAAGCCTGGCCTGAACTGCAGTGTGGAAGTGGCTGAGGAAGCCTCTTGAGAGATGGTCAGAGCTGGTCCAAGGAGTCCTGAGGGAGGGCCCAAACCAGCACCTTCAAGCTGCTTCTGTCACATTGCACAACAGCACTTTCCAGCCAGCAGGGTCTCCTGTGCTAGGGAGGGGTTAGGCTTGCAAACCAGCATCCCTCAGCTCAACTGAGAGGCAGTAGGCAAAGAGGGAAGCCTGAAGAGCCAGCACATGTACCCTACAAGAGTGGCCTGGGAGCAGTTAACTCTGCAGCTCACACACAATTGAGCCTGTATGATAATGAGTATTCAGAGACGGGTAATGCCTAGGGGGCACTCACCAACCTAAGACAGAGCACCTGTGTGGCCTGGGCAGGCGTCTCCAAGACAGGTAAGGTGACCTGCTGATGTCCCACGCAACCTAAATCAGAAGCTCATTTTTTAGTAAAAGGGGGACCTGTAGGGTCCTGGCCCCCATTTTGGGTAACTGTTGCCTTGCTTGCTGACCTTGACCTTGACATCCTCCCTGTGCTAATTCCCTGCTGGGTTCCACCCTCCTGAATGCTTAAGGGAAGTTCCTTGTCTGTGTATCCTGCATAATGGGCGTTAACAGCTTAGATGCAAGATTGTAAGACATCAGTAGCGAACTTCTGCCCTCCGGGGTTCTCCCATTGTGCTGTAAGCCTGTATTTAAGACCTCTTCCCTCCTTCAATAAACAGCATTTGGCAAAAAAAAAAAAAAAAAAGAGTAAGTTCCCTAGACACCAAGCATATAGGATCTGATATGCTCCAAGAGGGAAGATGCAATGTAAAATACCGGATGGATAGATCATCTTTGCCACACACAGGAGCTTATATTGGTGGAAGAAGTATGGTATAGTAGGATAGGAAAAGAGTGCCTTATCAAAGTCTGCCTTTTACAGAGAGATCGAGAAGCGGGACCCTCTTATAGAAAAGGGAACTGTATAAAAGCATATCTTGCAGACATCAACAAATTGTTTGGCTTTGGATATTGTTGTCCTTAAAGCACTGTATCTGTGTCTATTACTTTTTAACTTTGTAATCACAAGTGCTGCCAGCTGACATAGGTGCTGCGGGAGCAGGATGTGTCTGGCTCGATATTTAGTTAAGCCTACAAAAATGCCGAACTGTGTCTATAATAAGGTTATGTAGGGGATGGGAAGGTGTATTTGGGGAAGCATAAAGGGGAACAATGGCTTTTATAATGATTATGATGTATTTCTTAAAAAACAAAAAAGAAGAAGACAATAATAAAGCTGTTTCATGTAAGCCTGGTAGGGAAAAAAAAAACTCTGTTAAAATATAATATATAAATAAAGACAGCATTAGCTATAAAAAAATAAAATAAATAAAAAATTAAAAAATTAAAAAAAAAAAAAAAGAGTGGCCTGGGGACATAGGCACTTCCTTCCAGTTTTGTGTCCCAGCCAGCCCTGAGCATAAGTGGCAAGAAGTACAGCATGTGGTGTCAACCCAGAACGCCATGTCACCTGTGAGGCATGGCTGCAGCATGCTGACCGGAGGAAAGAAATGGGGTACAGCAAGAAAATTGGGATGTATAGTCTGGACACATGCTGTCATGACATCTAACAGGAGGTGTGAGCCTGGGACATCTAACAGGGTCCCAGGTGCTGGGAGCCTGGGACCAGAGGCAGGAGTCACAGGGTGTGACACGTAGGGAATCATGCACCATCTACCTACCTGGCAGAGGCAGTGGAGGCTGAACGGTGTAGGCGTTTTGGGAGAAAGGTTTCACACTGTGGGAGAAAGGAGAGAGGAGGCATCAGCCACAGGAAAGAGCTGCAGGATAGTCCTGGTGGCTTGGCCATTGGTGGCCTTAGCAGACATTGGTTTCTAGGACCCACCCCTGCCAATCCCTTCAGATTTGGTGTTTGAGTCATGGAAGCAATACATGTGTTGGGGCAATCCACCTCACACCCTCTCCCCGGGCAAGCAGATGTCTCTTTGGGTATCAAGCTTCAGAGCCTCTCTTACATCCTGTACAGATGTGCACTTCAGGACATGGCACTCCGAGTGTGGACACTGCAGACTAATAGGTGACATCTGTCTGGGAGTAAAGCCTTTGTCCTAAGGTCATGGCCATCCTGGAAAGGCCAACTTTACACTACAGCCCGTCTCCCCCTGCTCCACCTCCCGAAGCCAGGTTCCATTTCCTAAAATTCTGGGTTCAAATCCAGTTCAGGGAGTGAGGGGTAGGAAATCAAACCATACTCACTCATGGGACGTTCCAGGTTGGCCTGGCAAAGCTCCTTGCCAAAACTGTGGAGGTAAAAGGTATAGACTCAGCTCGGCTGTGCTGTGCCTAGGGCCAGAGTCCACGGGGATTGGGGGAAGTCTGTAAGGGAGAGACCACGCAGGCCTCTGGGTGTAAAAGGAGAAAGAAAGGCCGCTCCAGCAGTGGGGGGAGGAGGAAAAGCCAATGCCTCTGTTTAACTGGCTGGTGCTAACAGGCAGCAGCCACACCACGGAGTGTTTCTCTGTGCTCCACAGGGAGAGCCAGACTTGCTGACCCTGCACCTTTCTCCCTCCCATCGAGACTCACAGGGCTCTTCAGCATGTAAGGTTCTGAGGTCCTAAAGTCAAGAAATCTACCCAGGAGCTCAGTGGTAGAGCGCGTGCTTAGCTTGCCTAAGGTACATGGTTCCTACCTCGAATACCAAAAATGATGTAATCCGAGTGTCTACACAATCATTTTATGTCCTATCTATTTACAACTAGTACCTTCTAAGATTCCCTATGAAATATGATGGTGGAAAGGCTTGTGGAATTCAAGACATGTCCCTTCCCCACATGTGAGGACAGACAGAGCAAGTGGGGCATCCCAAAGGGAGCTATGTGACAAGACTGGGAAGGAGGACCGTTTCTGGAACATTCCAAAAGCATGGCAATGTGGACACGGCTAAGAGGCTGGTCGTCAGGCTGAGAGAATCAAAATCTGAGCACAGGTTTGTCCCCAGACATCAGCCCTCCACACGGAAGGTGGGCTCTGCTGGGATGCTGAGCAGGAGTAGGGTCAAGGGTGAATGGTGGCTGTGTGCGGACTCCACGGCGCCGTGTCAAAGTCTCAGGATTCATCTCCAGTCCTTGGACTTCTGCCTCCTCATCTATACACTACGTCAGTTTTCATCTGGCCAGCTAAGGAGAGCAGCCTCTTGCATCTCTTGAAAGGCCCGCTGTGTTGCTGCTAAGGCCCTCAAACAGTGGCTCCACCGCCAGCAAAGCCATGGCTTAGAACAGGCTCTGGGAGAGCTCAGAGAGAGGGACTGAGACCGGCCACTGTGCCCAGCTCTGCAGAAGAGAAGGTATGAGGAAAGCTGTGCTGGCCTCTTGCTCTGGGCTGCCCCACTTACCCCTGAGATTGCTGGGTAGCCAGGGCCCCGGGCAAGAGCCATTTTACTGTGGAAGGCTGTGGCGGAGACGATCTGGGCGGACGACATGGCAGCCATGCTCTGCAGGGCCTTGTTCTTAGCTGCCTGGTCCTGGGGAGACATGGGAAGGGAGGACCTTAGCAGGGCCACCAGCCAGGCTCAGGGGAGGCATGATCTGGCCTTAGGGTCAGAAAAGCTGTCCAGTGCCAGTAGCCAGAGCGGGGGGACCAGATTTAAGTTTGTGGCGTACTAACATGCTGGTAACTGAGCAGGGGACTTGGCTTCTCTGGTCAGCTTCCTCATCTGTTGTGGAAGAATGAAACTGGCTAGGGACTATGTCAGACTGCCTGACTGACCACCCTTCCTCCTTCCCTCCCTCCCTCTCGCCTCTCTCTCTTTCTAGTGTTGGGATGGAACCCAGCATACTAAGCATGTGCTCTACCATTGAACCCAGAGCCCCAGTTATAATCTTTATAAAATGGAGAGCCTAGTGAATCAATATTTCACAGTGAATGAAAATTTGATAGACCTAAGTCTGCCTTGAATAAGACAAGAGTTAAGGCTGGCAGATACCTCTGTAGCTTAACAGTCTGCAGGACAATCTCCCTCAGTCCACACAGCAGCTCTGAGGCAGGATGGATACAGGGTAGTCCTGAGGCTCAAGAGGTGTCTACCGAGAAGGCACTCAGGAGAAGTCTAGAAATAGGTGTGGCCTGAGACAGCATACTGAGGATCCTGAGAAATGCTAATGCACTTTGACCCCTGGGAGAGTAGAGGATCAGCAGGATCCCTCTTAGAAGGTGAAGAACTGGGGCTCAGAGAATTTAGCCTTAAGAGAGTGGTCTAAGCCAGGTGGTGGTGGCGCACGCCTTTAATCCCAGCACTCAGGAGGCAGAGCCAGGCGGATCTCAGTGAGTTCGAGGTCAGCCTAGTCTACAGAGCAAGTTCCAGGACAGGCTCCAAAGCTACACAGAGAAACCCTGTCTCGGAGAGAGAGAGAGAGAGAGAGAGAGAGAGAGAGAGAGAGAGAGAGAGAGAGAGACAGAGAGAGAGATATCCATGCTGTGGCTCAAAAGTGTTCCCCTAAATTCATAGATTGATGAGACTCTTGGAAGATGATGATGTAGTCACAAGGGTGAGTCCCCATGATGGCATTAGCGGTCTACAAAAAGAGGAAGAATGACTTGGGCTAGCTTGCTCTCCATGTGGTGGTACCCTTCTACATGCTTTAATGCAGGAAGAAGGCTCTCACAGGTATTGGTAGATACTATAGCCATGTTTTCACACTGCGGGCCACAGAAGCATCTATTCCTTTTTCTATCAATTATTTGTTTTATGTGTGTGAGTGTTTTGCCTGTATGTATGATGTATGTGTGTGCAGTATGCACATGCCTGGTACTTATAGAAGCCAGAAGAGGGGGTCAGATCCCCTGGAACGAGAGTCACAGGTGGTTATGTGCCTACAGTTATGAGCTACTTACTATATAGGTATGGAAACTGAACCCAGGTCCTCTGCCAGAGCAACAAGGGCTCTTAACCACTGATCCACCTTTCCAGTCCCATATTCTTTAAACCTTTCTCTCTTTTATTTTTCTTTTTGTGTAGAGTCTGAGCCTAGGACCTTGCACATGCTAGGTACCCACTCTACCACTGCATTCGCTCTATCCACAGCCCCTATCCATTGTTTTCATGATGCTGAGGCTTGAACTCAGGGCCTTACACATACTATAGAAGCCTTCCACCCCTGAACTATACCACCAGTGTCTTTTTGTTTAAAATTTTGTGATTGGGTCTCACTGGAATGCCCAGGCTGGCCTTGAACTTGGATCCTCCCAAGTAACTGAGATTACACACACACACACACACACACACACACACACACACACACACACCATCATGCCCAGTGTCCCTCTTTTTAAAGACAGAGTCTGCCTATATTGTCCAGGCTGTTCTCAAACACATGGGCATGAGTGATCTTTCTGCCCCAGCCTCCTGATAAGACTATAGGCACATACAATCATGACTTGTTTTTTGCTTTGTAATTACCCAGTCTGAGGAATTTTTCTATCATCACAGAAAAAATGACAAAGACATTCCAGGTTGGTACAGAGAGAGCCATGCCAGCCAAAAGGGCAATGGAAACGTGTTAGGATGTGGCAGCAGCCAGCACTCACTATGGAGGACACGGAAGCCTTGCTGTGTTCTGGGCTTGTTCCCCACTCAGAGCAGTGAGTGGGGGAGATTGGCCACGGGCGCCCTTGCCCACCGTCCTTCTGTGGCTAAACTCGGGCCTTGTTCTCAAAGGCTGTCTCTGACGACTGAAGTCATGTACTTCCAGGAGGAAAAGGTACTTTAGGCCAGCCCTCCCAGGCAGGCCTCTCCCTGAGGTGACCTGCCAGGCCACATCCTCAAGGCTGCGGAGATTAGCAACTGCACCCCGAGTCCAGAGAGCTCCATCCGTTCCATGCCAGCAACGTGTCCCTTCCTGTATCCTTAATCTAAACAAATGGCAGGGCTCAGGAAACCACATCCTCAATATGTGAGGCAGGAGGAAGGGGAAAGGACATCGTAAGGATGACATCAGCGGCCGGACACAGGGTCAGGAGTCGTGTATTTTCCAGTTCAAGGGGACCTTACCTACCTATCACCCTGCCACATCACCCTGTCCTTTTCTAGATGAGATTACTGAATGGGGCTCACGAAGGGTGCAGGACCTGACCATGAGACGGAGATGGGGTACAACAAGCCCAAGGATTTCTGACCACCCTACTGTCTATCCCAGAGCTTGATAACTGTGGTTCCAGGAGCCTCAAAAGTAGGACAGAGTCCTCAGGCCAGTTTCTGAGAAGATGCAGATACATGACACTTTGGGTATTTTAAGAAGTTTGTGGGCTGGGCAGTGGTGGCGCACGCCTTTAATCCCAGCACTCAGGAGGCAGAGCCAGGTGGATCTCTGTGAGTTCGAGGCCAGCCTGGTCTAGAGATCGAGATCCAGGACAGGCACCAAAACTACACAGAGAAACTCTGTCTTGAAAAACAAAACAAAACAAAATGAGGTTTGTGGCTCCTCCTGATGCCTGACTAGAGGTCCACTGACTGTTGACCTCAAGTCTCAAGTTACAAGCAGACATGTGATTCCGTGAAGCAAATATGGATGGTAGAGACATCCCAAGGAGTTGAACAGTCCCCTAGACACTCTAAACATAACGTCCCCTAGACACTCTAAACATAACATAGCTACTCTGTCCTTGCTGTCACCAGAGAGGGACATGGAGAACAAGCAGCTCTTTAAGACTGGGGGTGTTCCAGGGAGGGATTCAAGCTGCAGGCAGGCCAGCTGTCCTGGGAACAAAGGATGGAGGTGCCGAGCCACAGCTACGGGGTGTGGAGGACAGCTGGGCTGAAGGCAGGAAGAACGCAAGTGTGAGGACAGTGGGAGTACCTTCTTAGGAAGAAGAGGTCAGTGGTTCTACCTCTGGGCCGGCATCAGATAAGAGGTGATGGACAAGCCAGATGGTGGAGGAACACGCCTTTAATCCCAGCACTCGGGAGGCAGAGGCAGGCAGATCTCTGTGAGTTCGAGGCCAGCCTGGTCTACAGAGTGAGTTCCAGGACAGCCTGGGCTACACAAGAAACCCTGCCCCCCGCCCAAAAAAAAAAGAGGTGATGGACAGGACAGTGTGAGGTCATCCAGTCCAGTCCAGCAGCTTTTAAACTGGGCTCTGAGGTAGTACAGGGTTCTTCCTTAGGTATGAGAGGCTGCTCAGAAGTTGGTGTGCAGGTAGGGAAAGTCCTGGTCTACTCTTTGCCAAACTGCCTACAACCAGAATGACCTCCTAGAAGGCACACCGAGGTGAGATTTTGTTTTAGAAAAATAAAATGAGAGTCTCTTTGCTTCAATAAAGATGTATCTACTGGTCTAATCCAAGGGTTCAAATGTTAGACTTTCCTCCCAAGTGGCCAGGCAGGCCACGTGGTTAAGAACTAACTCCCTGATGGAGAGCTCACTTCCTCCTAATGCTCCCCAAAAGGCGCTGGGTCCACAGTCCTGGAGGACTGTCTTTCCGAGGGGACCCACCTGCAACTGACTTTACACTGAGGGGGATCTGGGGAGGGGATGGAACTGCCCTCTCAGAGATCAGAGAGGGAACAGAAATGCTGAGTCTGGGCTTCTACACTAAATAAATCCCAGGTAGGGCCCAGCAAGAGACTGCCATCCATATACATGGATCTACAGAGAGGCCACAGGCTAGGCCTGGCTGTCCTTAATGGCGGAAGAAGACATAGACTCAGCACAGTGGGAGCCTCTGAGCCCACTGGGTTGACTTTCTCAACTGGAAAAAGAGTCCCAACTTCACCCCCACTGCACCCCAAGTCCCAAGGTTCTCTCTTTGCTGACACTGCTTTCCTTACCTTGAGTTTGGCCTGGATCTCCCGGGCTTTTCGACGGGCAAGCACCTGGATGTGGCTGGAGACCTGTTGCAGAAAGAGAGAGTTCCTGTCCCTACCTCCCAGACAGCTTACGCTCCCCGCCCCCCCAGCTCTCAGCCTTTGTGGGGAGCTCACTCCTGCCTGCCCCAGTTCACCTTGAGCCTGGCAGGACTGCACCAGGGTGACATCAATGATCTGCTTTTCCCCCTAGTACCCTGGAGAGGGACTTAGACTGTCTAGTAAAGGGGAAGGACCAGAGAACCCAGAGAAGTGGGTACCCCTCCCACTTCCTTGGGAGCAGGTGTGGTGGGTAGGGCAACCTTTCTGGCCTCACCTGCTTCCTGGTGCGGGTCTTCCCTGTGCGGAGCTTGATGTAGCGTGCGATCAGCTCATTCCGACCTGCAGAAACACCCACAACCTCTCAGTGAGGAGTGCTTGAGGGTGAACGTCTCACTCTGTCCACCTTAGGTGGGACTTGGAGTAAGGACTCTGTAAATTCTCTCCTGCCCTCTTTGGAGCACAGGGATATCCCAGTAGTTTACACCCTTACTGGACAGACTGATGGCAATAGTAGAATCAGGACACATGGGCCACTGCCCCTCAGCCCAAGCTCCTCATTCCACGGGGCTCCTTAAACACCTGGGCCCCTCCCTGACTTTCTATGTGGGGAGTACCTGGCCCTTGGCTAGGAGACTACCACAGTTTCTGCTGCCTCTGGAAATGAGGAGGAACTTCAAGATGGTTGGTGGGCAACAGGGCCGTGAGAGGCATGGTGCTGACACTCTAATAGATGCCAGGGAGGAGGCCTGCCTCTTCAGACAGAAAAGGCTCCCAGGAAATGTAGCTCAGTGTTGAGGATTTGTCTAGCAGGTACAAGGCCTTAATTCTAAATCAGGCCTCACCAAAACCAAAACCAAAACCAAAACCCAGGCAACTTCTTTAGTCCAAGGCTCTGCCTCAGGGCAGGTGGCAGGCTTCATCTAACATCTGAAAAGCCACCACCTGGGGGCTATACTGTGTCCCCAGGACTCTCAAAGACTGTAAGAAGCAGCCACACCCTCTATTATTATTATTATTATTTTTTTTTTTTTTTGGTTTTTCGAGACAGGGTTTCTCGTGTAGCTTTGCGCCTTTCCTGGAACTCGCTTTGGAGACCAGGCTGGCCTCGAACTCACAGAGATCCGCCTGGCTCTGCCTCCCGAGTGCTGGGATTAAAGGCGTGCGCCACCACCGCCCGGCTCACACCCTCTATTATTATAAGTGAGATCAAAAAAGATGTATTGGTTTATTATTACTACTCTTATTTATTAGTATTGAGGCAGGGTCTCATGTAGCCTAGGCCAACTTTCAACTCATTATGTAGCTGGGAATGACTCTGAACTCCTGATCTTCTTGCTTCCATACCTTAAGTGCTGGAATAATAGGCATGTGCCCACGCCAGGTTTTATACAGTTCTGGAAACCAAGCCTAGAGCACTGTGCATGCTAGGTAAGCACTCTCCCACCTAAGCTACATCCTCAGCCTGTTTTTGGAGTTGTTACTTTGCTTTATTTGTGTATTCATTTGCTTTTTTTTTGAGAAAAGGTATTGCTATCTAGCCCTGGCTGGCCAGGAAATATGTTCATCCTTGATTCTCCTACCTCTGTCTGCTAAACAGAACTCAGTAGCTAGGTTAGGGGGCACATATCCACACAATGGAGCAATGTATGCTGGAAACAGATGTGTTTGAGGATGAGGGATGAGTTCAGGCTTGGGGAACAGTGGGCCTCAGTGGGACCTCGACCACTGGGTAGGATAAAAGCAAAGAACAAAGATCATCAGATGCCCTGGTGGTGGTGGTGGTGGCAGCACACGTCTTTAATGCCAGCACTCAAGAGGCAGAGACAGGCAAATTTCTGAGTTCCAGGCCAGCTAGGGCTACACAGAGAAACCCTGTCTCAAAAAGAAAGAGAAAGAGAGAGAGAGAGAGAGAGAGAGAGAGAGAGAGAGAGAGAGAGAGAAGGAGGGAGGGGGAGGGAAGGAAGGAAGGAAGGAAGGAAGGAAGGAAGGAAGGAAGGAAGGCATCAGCTGAGCAAGAGGGAGGGCTGAAGGAGAGGAAACTGTCTCCTCTTTGCTCTACATCTAGGCCAGAGGTTATAGCAGAGGCCTGCCCTGTCAGCTGAGGCTGGAGTGGCCATGTGAGGAAGCTGCCGTTGCAGGGGCAGGTGAGGCGAACCGGCTGCCTGCCACCTGGGCTGTAACTAGAGCGCTTGGCCAAAGCCAGGCTGGCCCTCACACTGACCTTTCCCCATGGCCAAGTCCAAATTAAGAGCCTTGAACTGCCAAGAAGATGTGCTGGCCTGGGAGCACTGGCTTGTCTGTGTCCAAGGAAAGAAGGAGTAGAGAATCAGGCCTCCGGGTGCTCTGTGAGTCAGTCTGCATCTAAAAGCGTGAGTCCTGAAAGATGTCTCTTCCCAAAGCCTTCCAGGGAAATGGACTCCGTAGGTGGATGTCCAGCAGTTCTACTCTGTGTCTAACTACAGGCGATTGTGCTGCACCTGTGAAAGATGAGGCCTAAGTCATCAGTGCTTGGTTACAGAAAAAGGACCACCAAAGTGGGGTTTAGGGAGCCAGGCTTGAACCTGCAGCTCTACAAAGGGACTCCGGGACCACAGCAAGTCACTTCCTCCATGGACCTCCACCCAGCCTTCTTCTAAGCTAGCTTAAAGTCTTTCTTCTATGTTTGACCACACAGATTTTTTTTTACTTAGGATGCTGAGCTTAATACTAGCTGAATGAGAACTATGGCCAGGCATGGTGGCTATAACTATCATCCTAGCACTTAGCAGCCCAATGTGAGAAGATCGCCTCAAGTTTGAGTCCAGCCTGGGCTACAGAGAAAACCCAGACTTTTTTTCTTAAAGGCAGGATGAGGAGCAGGAGGACAAGTCTGTTGTAGCTCCATCAGTCTCTTCCTCAGGAAGGAGAATACATTCTTAGCCTAAAGAAGTGATCAGAGTTCAGAGACTAAGGCCAGGGATAAGTTGGGGTGACAGAGAAGAGGTTTCTGGGAGCTGCAGGCCAATCCAAGCCTGGAGATACAGTGGCGATTCTCAGCGTTAGTAATGGGATAGCTGGAGGGACAGGGAAGGCAGGTGTCTTAGTCAGGGTTACATGCTGTGATGAAATGCCATGACCAAAGCAACTTGGGGAGGAAAGGGTTTATTTATTTGGCTCACACTTCCACATCACATTTATCATCAAAGAAAGTCAGGACAGGAACTCAAACAGGGCAGGATCCTGGAGGCAGGAGCTGATGTAGAGGCCATTCCACACGACTTGCTTCGCCTGAGAACTCAGGACCACCAGCCTAAGGGTGGCACCACCCACAACGGGCTGGGCCTGACATTAATCACTAATGAAGAAAATGCCTCCAGGCTTGCCTACAGTCCATCTTAAGGAGACACTTTCTCAACGGAGACTCCCTTCACTGATGACTGACTAGCTTGTGACAAGTTGACAAAAAAGTAGCCAACCCGGCAGGGGATGTTAGGAACCTCAGGGACCATCTGGGAAATAGCTCTTGGGTTGCTCCTCTCCCACACCTTGGCAGCTCATGAGTTATCTGTGCCCTTTAGATTCTCAGTCTCCCAGAGCAAAAGAATACACTCAAGCTTCAGGCTGTTCTCACTCCAATCTGCACCTCCAAAGCTGGGAATGGTGGGGGCACATGCCTGTGACCTAGCACTTACGAAGCAAGAGGATCAGGAGTTACAAGTTAGCCTGGGCTACATAACGAGACCACGTTCCCTAAAACAAATATGTTAACGTCTCCAGTGTTTGGCACCAGGAGAATGGAATCAAAGCATGGATGAAGGAAAGACTGTGTCTACCACAGTTCCACTTTCGAAATATTCCCAGAACTAGGCCTCTTCTCCCCACCTCAGTTCTGTGGTCCAAGCTACCATGCTCTGGCCTGGATTATTAGTCACCTCCACCTCGCTCCCTGCTTCAGGCTATTCTCGGCCCAGCAGCTGACATGTCTACTAAAATCCAAAAAGTACTGCCCTGGCTTCCCGTCTTCCTCAGAGGAAGAGAGTCCAAGTTTTGCCAGGTGTAGTGGCGGTGTTGGAGTCTCAGCTACTTGGGAGGCTGAGAGGCAGGAGGGTTGTTTCTGCCAGGGGCTGGACACCAGCTTAAGCAACATAAGAGATAGAGTTACTTGGGAGGGGAAAAAAGAGTGAAGGGAGCTGGGGTCAGTGGCAGAGCTCTTTCCTAGTGGACACAAGGAACCTGCAAAACACAGACACACAGACACACACACACACACACAGAGACAGACAGACAGACACAGACACACAGACACACACATACACACAGAGACAGACAGACACACACACACACACACAGGACACACACAGACACACACACATACACACACAGACAGACAGACACACACACACACACACACACACACACACACACACACACACACGAAGGATTTCTCCACCCTCACACCAGGTCAGTCACTTCTCTGATGCCATCCGCTATTCTGAGCTGCTTCCTGAAACATGCTGGGCCCACTTGCCCACTAGGCTTTGTGTTGGCCACCTTCTTCATGTTCCTGGCAGTGTCTGGAATGGTCTCATGGCCTTGGGGGAGATGGATGCCATGGTCTGTGACATCTTCCCTGACCACAATATGAGAGCAAGGATGGCCCTCCCCACCAGCACATCTCAGCCTACCCTTCCTGTCATTCCCATTCTCATCCACATACCATGCAATGTACTGATATTCTGGGTACTGTCTTTCCCCCGAAAGTGCACACTGAGAATGCACTCAGGGGTTTATTTTTTGTCTCTATCAGATACCTAGAAATCTCCCTGGAAGGTTGAGGAGATGATTCAGTGGATAAAACACCCATGTGAGAGGATTGGATGCCCAAAAACCCATATAACTTCCAGGCAAGCTTGGTGGCTTGGAAGGTGGACACAGAGCACCCTGGAAGCAAACTGGATAGTTCAACTAGCCCATATCAGCAAACTCTGGGTCCAATTATGAGAGTGAACAAAATAGAGTGATCAGTAAAGACTCCTGATATCAACACACAGGGAAACAAACAGACATACATGTATGCCCCACATACATTAAAAAAAAAAGAAAGCTGCCTGTACATTGTAGGTTCTCAGTAAATAGCTCTTTTGTTTTGTTTATTTTGGTTTTTTGTTTTGTTTTTCAAGACAGGGTTTCTCTGTGTAGTTTCAGTGCCTATCCTAGATCTCACTCTGTAGCCCAGGCTGGCCTTGAACTCACAGAGATCCGCCTGGCTCTGCCTCCCGAGTGCTGGGATTAAAGGCATATGCCATCATCGCCCGGCAGTAAATAATTCTTAAACAAACAATAAAGAACCAAATGGCAGT